CTAATGAAAGAAATAAGGAACACTAAGAAGAAAAAAGGAAAGAAATAAAGAGAATAATTGATAATAATATAGAATACAAGAACACCCAACCCAAAACTCAAATGAAAAAAAAAAAAAAGTAAAATTACAATAGCAGCAATTACTACTAGTCCTATCATAATAATAATAATAATAATAATGATAATAACAATAATATACAATAACATATATATACGAATAATCATAAAACCAACAATAATAAAACCAATAAAAACAACAACAACAACAACAAAAAACAGGCGTAACCGAACCGCCGCATAAAAGGACGAGGACCGGCTCTGTGCCTTACCCGATGAGCGCAAAGACGAAGAGCTCCTGGGGGTCGAACGGATACCCCACCTTGAAGTTGGTCTTGAACAGCGCCGTCAGAGTTTCTGGGGAAAGGGGGAAGCAGAAAACGTGGCTTTGGGGTGAGTGAGCGGCGACAAGGGGGGGGGGAGAAATTAGGGGTTTGGGGGAGGAAGGGGGGGTGAAATTTGGGGTGTGGTGGGGGTGTGAATTAGATGGGAAGAAGGGTGTAGGGAAGAAGCGGAGGGAGGGGTAAAGGGACAATATCAGGGGAGGAGGGGGTGGAGAGGGTAAAGGGAGAAAAAAAGGGATACAGCAATAGGAGAAAAAGAGGAGAGATGGGGGAGGGGCAAATGTAAGAGAAGCATTAGAGACAGCAGGAAGGGAACAAGCAGTAAGGGAGAAGGGACGGTGAGAGAAGGAATTCAAAAAATAGGAGAGGAGGAGAGTAGGAAGAAGACGCAAGAGGAGGAGGTATGGGTAAAAATGGAGAGAGAAAAATAAACACTCCCTCTCTGCCAAAAGGCGCCAGGGCTGCGAATAAAAAGGTGAGTTAAGACATTTTGCAAAACGGCTTATTCCAACAGATGGTTCACGAGTTCGATGTTCAGGTGGCATTGTTCGGGAAGCTGAGGAATAGGGAAGGAGATGGGTAACGGGAGAGGAGAGGAGAGAAAAAGAGGAAGAAAGGAGGAAAGGTATAGAGGAAGGAGGTAGATAAACAGCGAGAAAGCGCAATCCGAGAGAAGTTAGGAAGATAGAATTCGAAAGCAAATGAAAAAAAAAAACAAAAAAAACACGGAATCTCACAGAAGGTAGAAAGATAGAATTCGAAAGCAAATAAAAAAACAATACGGAATATTATCTATACATAAACCAAAATACTCTCCACCACTCGCGGTCTTCAGCAAAGCCTTAAAAAAGATACAAATGCGCACGTAGAAAGCAGGAAAACGCACTCGGTAAGAACACGCCGTCCCATTAAATCAAAGTGGGGGGGGTGACATAGCCAAGAGTGGGGGGGTGACATAGCCAGATGGGGGGGGCGGGGACACAGCCAGAATGGGGGGGGGGGGGGAGATTGACATAGCAGAGTGGGGGGATTCGGCGCAGGAGGCACTAACTCCTCCCTTTAGATTTATGAACTCATAATCTAACTTTATTAAACAGGTTTCCACTGACTCGAATAATCCAATACACCACACAAGATTAGAAAAATATTCCATCTTCTCTTCATAATTCCTGGCTATGCCTACAAGGAAGAGGATTTCCAATAAATATCAAACAGATTTAAACAATAATAACAGTTAAAGGGAGAAAAATAAGGGTAAATTCCAGTAAAATAGAAAACGCAACTCTGTAAACAAGCATAACAGAAAACGGGAAACGACCACGTGGCGGCCGCTCTCTCTCTCGATGCGTGCTTGTCTTACCCAATCAGGGAAAAGACGAACAGCTCTTGAGGGTCAAATGGTATGTCCACTTTGAAGGTCGTCCGAAACAGCGGCGTCAACGTAGCTAATGATAAATAAGAGGAGGGAGGATAGACGGAAAAGGGAAGGGAAGAAGGAAGAGAGAAAATAATAGAGTAAATTGTAATAAACTGGGCGATGGTTGCCTGGAATACTGGTTATGGTATTATTACATAAATATTTCCTAATTTATTCTGGTTTGTTGGAAAACAGAGATATATGACTAAGAATAATAATTTTCTACAGACGAACAACTAATGAGAATAAACAAATTCTACGATATGTACATACCACAAAAAGAAGTGAATATCTACAACTAATATTAAACACTGAAAATAAAAATGTAAACAAACAATGAACTTCAATTGACATATTCCATCAATTTCAAACTGTCATGACGTCATTAGCTCAATGGGATATTAGGTTAATTCTATCTCATATCAACACTAACATAACCGAGAGAATTAGTCCTACTAACGACACCATCTGCACCATAACTACCCCTCCCATCACCATAATCACATTTTTTCACCATACGACTACCATACCATATTCCCTCACCATAATTGCGCATAATTCTATTACTCGTGCTACACCAACAGCCCTCCGCCATGCTCGATTTTAACGTTATTTGCTCCATAAACATCCATAAAAAAATCCAAAGTGCTCAGGCGGGAGAATATATACCCGTGGATTCCTGGCAACACCTTAAGAGTTAATTATTGTGATGTTGACTCGCTCATAAACTTGCCCCCCTCTCGTCTAGCGGCGTCTGGCAACCCCCTCCGGCCCCTGAGAACTGACAGGAGAAATGCAACGGGGAAACAAATTTCGTGATCTTATTTTCTTCTTTTTTGCTTTGATTTTCTTTTTCTTTTCACCATTTATCAACTATTTTTTGTAGTCCTAAATTTCCGTTCAGGTTTGTCATCTGCATTCACAAGAGGGAGGAGAAAACGAGCTTAAATGAAAATCGTCGAAAGGAGAAAACGAGCCTAAATGAAAATCGTCAAATGGAGAAAACGAGCCTAAATGAAAATCGTCGAATTAACATCGCTCATCATCGGCCCATGAAGGAGAGAAAGAGAAAGAGAGCAAGAGAAGAGAAAGAGAAGGGAGAGAGAGGAGAGAGGGAGAGGGAGAGGGAGAGGGAGAGGGAGGGAGAGGAGAGGGAGAGGAGAGGAGAGAGAAGAGAGAGAGAGGAGAGAGAGAGAGAGAGAGAGAGAGAAGAGAGAGAGAGAGAGAGAGAGAGAGAGAGAGAGAGAGAGAGAGAGAGAGAAGAAGAGAAGAGATAGAAAACACGATTCCCGCGCAATTCACGTTTTCCTTTATAAACCCTCGTCTGTTCTGCTAAAATCCTCATCTTCATTTCTCTCTAAGTCATTACACATTCTTGATGATTTACTCCGCCATCACACCAGACCAAGATTGAAAAAAATTAAGGCGCTGAATCATTTGTTTTCCTCACGAGAAAATTAATGTCAAAATACTACATCAGGACGCTGCTGTGAAGCGCCATCAAGAGGGTGCTTGCTCTTAAGTGATTTTTTTTACGCACTCCAAAATATTAATAATATCGTGTTTTTTTTACATCTAGAGGCAATTAGGATATTTTCTCTCGTGAGATGTATTTATTTTTTTAGGATTATGTTATTTGAAAGCTTAACGGTTAAAACGGTTAAATTGCAGAGCTAATTAGCACGTTCAAATTTTTTGAATGTTTTTATGTCCTGTATTTTGAAGGGAAAGTAATATTTCCGTAATTCTGCATTAAGCAGAGAGACGAGAGAGAGAGAGGAGAGAGAGAAGAGATGAGAAGAGAGAGAGAGAGAGAGAGAGAGAGAGAGAGAGAGAGAGAGAAAGAGAAGAGAAAGAGAAAGAGAGAGAGAAGAGAGAGAAGAAGAAGAGAAGAGAAGGAGAGAGAGAGAGGGAGAGAGAGAAGAGAGAGAGAAAAGAGGAAAGAGAAAGAGAGAGAAGGGGAAAGGAGAGGAGAGAAAGAGAGAAAGAGAAGCAAAGAAGAAAGAGAATCATAGATAGAGAGACAGAGACTAATTTTCCTCTTTCATCTAAGTATTCCACCTGCTTTTCGCACTGTGCAAACTCCATGGCGGACAGTCCCTCACAAGAGCGCCTTCCTCTGCAACCTCGGGCTCTTCCATCCTCTCCCATTCTCGCAAACCCATTTCCATTTAGAATCTTTCAAATTTCTTTCTCTTGTGTTTCCCCCTTTCCTATTCTCCTCTTCGCTGTCTCGCTTGGTAAATAAACGTCTTGTTATGATTTTATTGCTCTTAGTGATTTTTTTACGCACTCAAAAATATAATAATTCGTGGCTTTTTTTTTTTTTTTTTTTACATCTAGAGGCAATTAGGATATTTTTTTCTCGTGAGATGTATTTATCTTTTTTAGGATTATGTTATTTGAAAGGTTATTAATCTTTAAGCGGAAGGATCTTGAAACAAGATCCTTCCGCTGTTTCTCGCTTTCTCGAAGACGCCGACACGAAACGGTTCAGCTGGACGTCTGGCCCAGCTTCACCTTCAAGCCTGTAATGCTTCTGTTTCATCTCTTTATTGGTCTAATTTTTGGTTTGTCTTATTTACCCTTCTAAGTGGGTCGTCGGTGTTGATTAGAAAATTAATAATACGATAAGGAATAACCGGAAATGCATACAAGACTATCTCCAGTTGCGAGGGAAGCCCAAGGACACGTGGTCTACGCGCTCTCCACGCTGAAGGTGCTGTCACAACTGGCAACTTTTTCCGTCATTTTTTGTTTTTGTTTTTGAAAATTTTATCCATTTTTTTGAGAGAATTGTCGATTTTCTAGTCAGACGCCCAATGTGTCGTTTTTCCGTCTGAAAAAATTCTTTTTTTTCCGTCGACTTTTTTCGCGCAAAGCATGTCACAAATTCAAAAAAGCTATATTCGAGAATGTCTTTAAATTATCGGCTAAAACAAAAATTGTGCAAAAAATTGCAGAAAAAAAGTTTGCTAGTTGAAAACACCTTACGGGGGGGGACCTCTCGGACCCATGGGGCCCAACCCTTTTCGAACGCCGCCTCTCACAGTGAACAGGTTAGGCGGGACTTATCATTTCATATTTTCTATCGCGTTTTTCTTTGTCCCAAACCAGTCAACCTCCAGTAAATACGATAGTTGTAAGTGGATTGGGCATGAAAGCTCGACAGTAGAAAAAAAC